AAAAAAAAAAAACCAAAGCCAAGGTTGTAATTTGAGCAGAAGGAGGAGTGGCAGGGCAGAGGGAAGGGGGTGGGCAGTCCTGGGTGTGGGAGAAAGGGCATGCTGCAAGTGCCGGGGGGCTCAGTCCGTGCTGGGGCTTGAGGAGGGAATGGGAATAATTGGGATGTCCTCTGATGCACAAAGGAGGAGTAGATGACTGGGGCACCGTCCTGCTGCTTTCTGCCTCAAGGGTCCTCAGGAATGGGCTATGAGTTGTGTGAATTATCTTGAGCATCCTGTAAGTCATCATTGCTCCACATCAACCCATCATCCTCGCTGCTCCCATAATGCAGTTGATGGAGATGGATTGAGGGCAGGCACGGATCCAGGACCACACCTGGATCTCCAACTCCCCTCAAATTCGGGTTGGGCAGCATTTTTGATTTAGCTCCTGATGGAAAGATCTCCAAAAGTACACTTCTCAGTTTCTATTCTGATGCAAAACCAAGCTGACCACAAAGCTGAAGCAAAAGAATAGCTGAGTTTGCAGAGAGCCTGAAAGATCTGCTCCAAAAGAGATTACATGGATGTTCATCTCAGTGAGGCGTTTTAACTGAAATTTCCCCCACTGAAGATGGCAAGTTGTTCCTCTTGCCCTGCAAGAAAGAACAGCACTGATGCTTCTTGGAAGTATAAATATCTCCTCTAGTTCTGTCCTGAATGCCAACTTGGTCAGCACTGTTAGACAGCTGCCTGTTTCTGCCAAAGAGGAGGTTGTGTTTTTATTGATGGCTGAAGCGTCCTCACATTTTGGTCAGTTTAGACATAAAAGATGTTTGGTTTGCCCAAGACATTGAGTACTCTTAAAATGTAGGCTGCTATTATTGATTATTAATGCAGAGCGCTTTCTAAAACCCTCTCGATTGAAGCTGGTAGAACTAATCTTGTCTGAAGGGAGATTTGATTGATTTTCTTTTAAATCAGAAAAGAAAAATGTTGGAAACATCCATCTTTCTCTTACATTCTTCTTATATAAAAGCCTGCCAATGCTATAGATTCTTTAATGCCACAAACCAAAACCAAAAGAGCAACAAAAAAACCCTTTTAGCTGTTCAGCTTTTGATGAATCTCTCTGTAAAAACGCCAAGTAGCTGACAAAAAGAAGCTCCCCAAACTCCACATATCACTTCAGGTTTTCCTAGTGGAGAAAAAAGTCTCCATCCATTTCCCAGGCAGCCCTGCTGGGCCTGTCACCTCTCCTTGGTAAATATTTTCTACCCAAAATCAGGTGATATGCTCCAAATTAGCATCATCCTCAGTAAAAAGGATGCCTCCCAAAAGAGTTGGTGGGGTGAAACCTGCACAGCATTTTACTGGGTTGCCATTCCTGTGTCCTTCAGCTGAACATGTCCCGGACCAGGTAGATCCCTGCGTTGTATCTCCAGCGAGCTGGGATGCATCCCTGGGATGCTCCCACCAACCCCAACCTAGGGCATGGGCAGATGAAACCACAGGTAGCCGCAGCCTCCAACTGTTTTTTTAGCCTGCACCTGGAGGCTCCCTCTGCGTCAGCAGGATGGGGCAGGCGTAGCATCAGCTTGGAAGCTGGATTCGGAGCTTAAATTTGGCCCAGAAGAGGCATGGGATTGTGGTAAAACAGTGGGGTCCAGGAAACCCCAATTCTGGCCTCATTTGGGCTCAGCCAACCTGTGTGAATGGAGGTTTGTTCTTTCTCAGTTCACCAGCTGCAGAATGGAGATGGGGGCACCTTGGAGAGGTTTTTGAGTTTCTTTACTATTTAATCATATCATAGAATTATAGAACGGTTTGGGTTGGAAGGGACCTTAAAGCCCGTCCAGTTCCAACCCCCCTGCCCTGGGCAGGGACACCTTCCACCAGACCAGGTTGCTCAAAGCCCCATCCAACCTGGCCTTCAACACTCCCTGATGTAAGGATTCAACAACTACCGCTCAGCGTAGAATAAATCCGCCGAACTGGCTCACCCATGGGGTTGATGGTGGAGCCCAGCCTGGGGCAGATCTCCTACCCCACGGTCAGGGCTCGGGCTGCCCAAGCATCCGCAGGAGCAAGGATGTGGAAAGAGTTTATTGCACGGGGAACGAGTGGCTACACAATCAGCTCTGCACGGCGAGGGTCCTGCAAAACCGCACAAACCGCCGGTAAATCGCTGCTCCGGGAACTGGCTTTTGTTACCTGATTACCACTAAACTTGATTAACAAGAAGACACACACACACCAAAAAAAAAAAAAAAAAGAATCAAAGCAAGAGAATTTGATTTGAATTTCATCGCATGTCTGTGCAATCTCGCCTCCCGCACTGCTGTAAATGCTGGCCTAGTTTGAGGTCTTCCCGCTCTCATGAAAATGATAAGCAAAGACCTCGAAACAGCCCCATTTCCTCCAGCAGCGACTGCACAAAGCACCCGCAGATGAAATGTGTCAGCTTTGCCTGCTTTTTAAATCTTGTCATTGTGCATTTTGCTTGGTTAGCGTGTAAATTCCTTGAAGTTTCAGCAAATCCCGAGTGGATCGGCTTCTAAAGAAAACCCAGTAATAGCATAATAAAGGCTATCACACAACACAGCGTACATTAGTTTGCAAAGTTCTTGGTTTGGATACACAGAGGAGTGATTTTTGGGTGCTGAATTTGGGGATGCAACAGCAGGGCATGGTTTTCTCCCATCCTAAAGGACCTTAAGTCTGCTTTCCCCCCCATAGCCCCTTCCTACAGCAGAAGGGATATTTGGCAGCATCCCTCCAACCTGCTCCCACCCATCCCACTGAGTCCTGATCTTCCAGCCAGGCTCATCGTTTCTCTCTGTGCTCAGCCCAGGTGGGAAGGAGGAGATGGTATGTTTTGGAAGAACAGCACCAAAACCAGCCCTGGTGCCCACCTCCATCTCACCAGGTCTCCTCCTTCCCAGACACTGCTGGGCGCTCAAGCAACATAGGTGGTCATGGAGAGTTTTGCTTGGCTTTTCTGACTAAAGTCAGACAAAGAAAA